CTGTAGTTCCTTTATAGCCCAACATTAGCCTCCTTTAGCTTAGAGGTGGTGACGTGAAGTCATGTGACCGTGCTGTAGTTCCTTTATAGCCCAACATTAGCCACCTTTAGCTTAGCGGTGGTGACGTGAAGTCATGTGACCGTGCTGTCGTTCCTTTATAGCCCAACATTAGCCGCATTTAGCTTAGCGGAGGTGAAGTGAAGTCATGTGATCGTGCTGTAGTTCCTTTATAGCCCAACATTAGCCTCCTTTAGCTTAGCGGTGGTGACGTGAAGTCATGTGACCGTGCTGTAGTTCCTTTATAGCCCAACATTAGTCACCTTTAGCTTAGCGGTGGTGACGTGAAGTCATGTGACCGTGCTGTAGTTCCTTTATAGCCCAACATTAGTCACCTTTAGCTTAGCGGTGTTTATAGCCCAACATTAGTCACCTTTAGCTTAGCGGTGGTGACGTGAAGTCATGTGACCGTGCTGTAGTTCCTTTATAGCCCAACATTAGCCACCTTTAGCTTAGCGGTGGTGACGTGAAGTCATGTGACCGTGCTGTAGTTCCTTTATAGCCCAACATTAGCCACCTTTAGCTTAGCGGTGGTGACGTGAAGTCATGTGACCGTGCTGTAGTTCCTTTATAGACCAACATTAGCCACCTTTAGCTTAGCGGTGGAGACGTGAAGTCATGTGACCGTGCAGTAGTTCCTTTATAGACCAACATTAGCCACCTTTAGCTTAGCGGTGGAGACGTGAAGTCATGTGACCGTGCTGTAGTTCCTTTATAGCCCAACATTAGCTTTTTATGTTTCTTTTAATGCTTCTGTTAAATTATTAAAGAGCCAGGTCATTTGGTGTTAATAATCTTCCTGTATTACTACCTCCACCTCTGTTTATTTGTAAACAGGATTACAGAAACTTCCGGACAGTTTAACTTGGTGGTAGGGTGTATCACAGGCCAACACAAAACACATTTAATTTTTAGAGCGTCTGATTTATTATTCGTCCTTTTTCTGTAAATAAACAGAACATTTGGAACATTTCTGCACTGATGAACCGTCAACATGTAAAACAAGAGGGGTTGCTCACAGAAAACAGAAGGAGGTTTTAAAGACCTTTCCTTCTTATCTTCACACACACATGCCCACTGTTTAACTTCCCATTCACACTCTGTAAATGTTGTTTGTTATTAAGCCCTTTCTGGTGTTATTGTGTGCTTTGGATTAATGGTGCGTTCTGGTTCCTTTATTCTCTTAAAAAGGACAAAAGACAGGTTTTTTTTGTTTGTGTCCAAAGCTCATTTCAGCCTAATTCATTCATTAATGAAGCCCTGCTTTAAAAGAACATTGTGTTGAACGCTTCATTATTTTCATGCACGGGTTTATAATGGAGGGATTTTACTTTTCTGAATCTGAACTACAAGACAGGAAAAAAAAGTAAAACATACAACAAAGCTCATTTAACACACACTTGTAATATGTAATTAATAGTGATATGGGTGTAGGGGCTTAAAAGTTTCTAGAGCCACTTCAAACATACGAGGAGTGATTTCCACGTACAAATAATCCAGAGCAATAATCCATTTGTTAAAATGAATCCATTTGTTTTCCATTTCACCATACATCCCACCTTCTAAAACCAACTCCTTCCACATAAACGGACATAATATAGAAAATAGGAGACCAAGGGTTGTCAAAAAATATATTCGGGGGCGTAAACAAATAAAGTTGAGTAGATAAATATTCAACAAATAATATCTGTAGGCCATGTATACTAATAAAATAAGACATGTTAAACAATTAAAATAAAAACAAAACGTATATCATAAACTCAGTTAAATGGCTCCTACAATGGGTATAATGTAGTAAGTAGCAATCAATTCGTTTTCCAAAATATTTATATGTGTATAAATGAGACTAACACATGCATCACTTCTGGGCGAAATCACGGCCCCGCCCACTTTTGGGGTTAAAACATTCGCAGATTCTAATGTTTTCACTTAAAAAAATTAAGAAAACCACGCTTTTTTTAACCACCGTTCAAATGGCAGCGAATGTTTTCCTCCAAAAGTAGGCGGGGCCGTAATTTTGCCAGGAAGTGATGCCTCTCATCTCTGCCCATTTCAGGGTTGTTTATTATTTTCTAGTTTTCATTATGAAATATATGAAAATTAGTATGAAGGCATTGGGTTTATGAAGCTTAATCAAAACTTGAAATACTTTTCTGTATATTATTTCAAATGTGTTCTTTCCATGCTTTCCAGTGTATTTGTGGCGAGGATTTCCTTTGTTTGAGTAATCCTAGTTGCACTCACATCTGCACACTTATGTAAATATATTTAACATGTTCATTCAAATGCTCAACGTTTTACTGTTTCAGCAGTTACTTTATTTTGAATATATATATTTTTGTATTATTATTTACATTTGTATTGAATTTTACCTTAATTTTCACTAATGTTCACTCTGACCCTGTTGCTGCTATAAACGCCTGCATTTCCCCACAGGGATAAAAAGAGTTCCATCTTATCTTATTTTATCCACCACTGCAGAAAATCATCAGCTCACACAAACAACCAAATATTTGTAACCTAGCGATCGTTCCTCTTAGTAATTTCCTCTTTCCTCTCTGCAGGAATCTCAATGCCGATCCCCGTTCTTGGCCTCCGAGATCACTCCAAGGTCTTCAAAGATGGCAGCTGCTTTCTGACGGACAACAACTTTGTGCTGGTCGGTTCCTTCGTGGCCTTCTTCGTGCCGCTCACCATCATGGTGGTCACCTACTTCCTCACCATCAGGGCTCTTCAGAACGAGGCCACGCTTTGCCTGGATCAGCTGGTGCCTCGTCCCAAATGGAGCACGACGTTCACTCTGAGTTTCCTCCCGCAGAACTCAATGTCCTCAGAGAAACTCTTCCGGCGTTCGTTGAGTCGAGAAGCCGGCGGCAGAGGAAGTATTTCAGGTTCTGTGTTTGGACGCCGAACCATGCAGTCAATCAGCAACGAGCAAAAGGCGTCCAAAGTTCTTGGAGTGGTGTTTTTCCTCTTCGTGGTCATGTGGTGCCCGTTCTTCATCACCAACGTTCTGGTGGTGGTTTGCGATCCTGAGGTTTGCGACCCAGCGTTGATGGGAAATCTGCTGAACGTTTTTGTTTGGGTTGGATATCTGTCGTCCGCTGTCAACCCGCTGGTCTACACATTGTTCAACAAAACGTACCGGGCGGCGTTTCAGAGATATGTTCGCTGCCGGTATCGGGCGGGCAAGAACAAACCGCTGCAGCTGATTCTCGTGAACACAATCCCACCGATGGCTTTCAGTTCAAGTCAGCTGGGAGACAAGTTTAGGAACGGATTGGCGAACTGTAGCAGCGAAATGAAGGATTTTTCTTTGTGTAAATCGGACAAAAGCCACGGAGGCAAAGACGAAAGCTGCGTGTGATTAAAACCGTTGGACAAAAGTCAAGGACGAAAGCTTTTGTCCGATTAAAACCAACGGACAAAAGTCACAGAGTCAAGGACGAAATCTGCGTGTGATTAAAACCCTTATTTCCAGAAAGTCTTCAGGCGTTTGTTGAGTCGAGAAACCGGCGCAGAGGAAGTATTTCCGGTTCGATGTTCGGACGCCGAACCATGCAGATAATCAGCAACGAGCAGAAAGTGTCCAAAGTCCTCGGGGTGGTGTTTTTCCTCTTCGTGGTCATGTGGTGCCCATTCTTCATCACAAACGTTCGGTTGGTGGTGTGCGTTCCTGAGTTTTGCGACTCAGCACTGATGGGACGGTTGCTGAATTTTTTCGTGTGGGTTGGATATCTTTCATCCGCGGTCAACCTGCTGGTCTACACCAAATAAGGTGTCTCTAGGAACAGATTGGCGCACTGTAGTGGAGAAATTAAAGATTTTTCGGTGTGTAAATCGGACAAAAATCCCGGAGGCAAGGACGAAAGCTGCTTGTGATAAAAACCGTTGGACAAAAGTCAAGGACGAAAACTTTTGTCCGATTAAAACCGTGGGACAAAAATCAGAGAAGAAAGCTGCGTGTGATTAAAACACTCGTTCATGGTGTATTTTAACGGATTATTAAATCTTGAACTCTGGTCACATCGTGGATTGTGGAAAGTGCCAAAGACAAAGTGCCTCCAGGTCAGGATTTTAGAAAACACTAGAGGTTATGAGATGAAGTTGGGAAACTAGAATAAAACATTTGCATTTCAGTGAATTCTGGATCAGCTGAATCCAGTTTTAAACGTCCTTATTATGACATTTTGATAAACCAAAAGAAAGTGCTTGTTCAATGGATTAAAATCTCTAAAAGTGTTTAAGAGTTTTAGAGCCTCCTCTATACTAGGGAAATTAGTCTTGGAAAAACATATCATTTCACTTTTTAAAGAGCTAATCAATAGAGTCTGAATGAGATGGACGGGCAGTGGTATAAAAGATATGAAACACTCTTTGACAAAGACAAAAAGGTGACAGAAATTATCCATTTTATAATAATCTCTTTGGACGAATTGGTAAAAACTATTATGAGGTTTTTTTCCGTGGATGTTTGCACCAGTCAGGTTGCCTCTACCTCCCATCATATATATATATATACATTTCTTGTGTGGATAAACTGGGATTATCCTGGATTTCCTGCAACTTTATCCAATGTTAGAGACTAAGGATGACACCGGGACTCTGCAGAGGTCAAAACAAGCGAGAAGGAAAGAGGGTTAAATATTACGTCTGAAAAAATATATTTACCAGAGACAATCTAAATAAATCTATATTTGTACTTGTGCAGATTTATGTGAATAAATGTTAACGATTGTTGAAGTTTTGTTATTTACAAGTGAAGGGAGATTGTTAAATTAAATTATATTGGTAGGAAATTAAGAGGATTTAACTGCAGATGTTTTTATTGTAAAAGTCACACTTTTCCATTGTGTTCATCTTACACTCCCCATAAACACACTCATGGCTTTTGATTCCAGAGACGTTGAGGTTTTTCGTCAGTTTTTTCTCGTTGTAAATTGGTTTGAATGTCGTTTTGAAATGTGGACAAAAGGTGGATTAATGAATGAAGGGATCCATGGATGTATTAGCAATGTTCGTCAGATTAAAAGTGTTTAACTTGGACCAGAAAGCAGCAGTGTTTTAGATTAAACGCTAAATATAATTGAGATTCTGTATGACTGCAAACAAAGCCTAAATGGTTGCAATTGACAAACACTGACTTAAAACCGTAGACTGTTTTTTTCTTGATTACTCTTCAACGTTGGTCTTTAAATTGTAGTGGAGGAACTTTAAATTATTGTTGGAACCGCTAATTGTCCTATTTTATATAGATATCCTGATATAATATATATAATTAACACTTCCAACATCATCAGGACAACGACACACCAAACAAGCTCATATTTGATCCACTTTGAAAAATATGGTATATATATATATATATATATTAATATATAATATATACATCTTCAAATACTGTCTATCTCTATCCATTTGGAGAAAAAGTAAAATTCAGACTTTTTTTTAAATTGTGAGAAAAAAGTCAAAAATCATGATTCTGAGGAAAAATGTCAAAATTCTGATCAAAAGTAAAACAAATTTCTGATTTCTGAGAAAAAAGTCTAGATATTTACCTTTTTTTAATTTCTGAACATTTCTGATCAAAAGTAAAAAAAAACCGAGTTC